AGAAGTTTGGAGACTAACAATAGACCTTATACACCTTTACCATAATGGCTGCAATTGTGTTTTTCCAAAATAAAATAGATATGAATATTTTGTCACTGTAACATCAACGAACTATCGGAGATAAACGTTTTTGGAACGTTTTAGAACTCTAGTTATGGTGAAATGAAAATACAAAGAAATGTATGTAATTTTCCACCAATGACTGGCTGTCTGTTTGTTTCTGAATATGAAATATGTGAAAACGTTGTCACTCCTCATGTGAATGAACTACCAGGAATAAACATTTTTTGAAAGTTGTACAGCCCTGGATAAAATGCGAACAAATTTATGGCCAAATGAAAATGCAAGAAATGTATGTAATTTTCAGCCAAGGCCTTTATAGCCTCGTTCTGGTGTTATGACATATTTTAAATCCTTATAACTTCACCAGAATTTAATATTTTCATTTCAAATTTTTATATGTGGTTATTAGCACAGGTTCCTTTCAGCTGTTAGTTTACTTTGACTAAAATTCTAAATCTTAAAAATTTAAGTTAATTAGATGGCGGGGAATCCTAATGCATTAAAGGATGAGAAACTGATGTGTTCTGAACCATGAATAATTCATAATTTTAACCCAAGGACTTGGGCTGGACGGTATCACTTCTGCCTACAACAATCGCATACAACCTGCGTAAGTAATCCTTGAAAAATGACTACAACTGTTGTAGGGCTATAAGGCAATTGTTTTTAATCCCTACAACAGTTATAGTTGTTTTATAAGGATGACCTATGCTGGTTTTATACGATAGTTGTCGGCAAAAATTGTACACCGTCTAATTCGGCTTTAACAAAACCATACTTCGAGCCATAGTTAACAGAGGGAAAATGTTAGTTAGTTATTCTCATCTTCACTAGTTGGAAGTAGAGCCGCGACACGGTGACGCCATTCTTTTCGGTTCTTTACTAACTTCGACGCCTATTCCCAATTCAGTCCCATCTCTAGCAGCTCTGCCTCGCCTGTTCTTTGACAGGTGGTTTTAGGCCGTCCAGTCTTGCTTTTGTCGACAGTTGTCCACCACACGGACTTTCTTTGCACGGGTTCCAAGCCACCAATATTCTTTCAAAACAAAAAACAATGTTTATTTACTACAACGGAAGTCCCCTCTTAGTAGAAACACATAGCAAAGATTAGTGTTATCCCAGAATGAGAAACCGGAATTATTGTTAAGTAGCCGTTAACAATCTCGTCTGATTTAACCTGGAACGCTCACATTGACAATATCTGTGCAAAAGCTAGCAAACGTTTATATGCTTTGAGGGCTCTTAAACGTTCTGGTGCCCCACCAAAGGACATTATCACTGTCTACACCTGTTTTATCAGACCAGTCCTGGAGCACGCCTGCCAAGTATGGCATTTTTCTCTTCCGCAATTTCTTAACGACCAAGTCGAACAAGTTCAGCGACGTGCACTCAAGATTGCTTGTTCACAATTTTCATACAAAGATGGACTCGATATAATGGGCCTCCAAATGCTTAACAAAAGAAGACAAGAACACTGCCATAAATTCTACAATAATATACATACCCAAAAAGACAACAAACTGAAAGAACTTCTGCCTGAACTTAAACAGATAACTACACATTAAGGAATCCTCGTAAATTTAACCTTTTCAAATGTAGAACTGAACGTTTTATACCAAAATCAGTATCTATGTGGGACAAGTCGTAATTTTTATTGTTATTATATTGTATAGATCTTTTTTCAATCAATTATTTATTGTATATATGTATTGTTTAATCATAGTTAACTATGGTTTAATTGAATATTGTAATTTAAAATATTGTAAATATCGAGATTTTCAAACTATGTTTGCAAGTTGATAGTATTAAACATTATTATTATTATTGTTATATAATACTCGAGGCTACTGTTCTGCTTTGTTAATTAAGCTTTCCCATGACTAACAATACTGAACGCTAATCTCTTCATGTTTGCAAACAGCTCAAGACCCTTGTGAGATATCGCTGTGTAGCTACCCAGATATCCAACATATCGAATATTCTTGATTCGAGACCATGCAGAACAAGAAATGTATAGAGTTATTAGTTTGTGTGGTTAACTGCGTTTTTTTTAACTGTGCCTAATTAGATAAGCAGCCTAGAAATGAACCTTCCGATCCATGTGAAATATCGCTGTGTAGCTACCCAGATACTGAATGTGTTGCAATCAATGGATCAGCAACATGCAAGTGCCCCCAAGCATGCACCAAAATCTATCAACCAGTTTGTGGAACTGATGGCAAAACCTATCCAA